TCTGCTTCTCCCTCTCCCACTCCCCCTGCTTGTGTTCCCTCTCTCACTGTCTCTCTCTCTGTCAAATAAATAAATAAAATCTTTAAAAAAAAAGTGGAATAATATGAAAATCACAAAATACGATGATAGAAACATGTACAAATACTCCAGTAATCAAAATAAATTTTTAAAAATCTTGCCATGTAAACCACAGAGAATGTCAAACATTTTTTCACTCAGTTACATGCAGTGTATGAGAGGCACACTGTCTTAGCTAAGGATGCTACAACAGAATAGCATAGCTGGGTGGTATATACAGTAGACATTTATATCTCACAGTTCTAGAGGCTACGTCTAAGATCAAGATGCTGTCAGATTTGGTTCCTGGTGAAGTCTGTCTTCTAGGCTTGCAGATGGCTGCTTTCTTGCTGTATCCTCATACAGCAGAGAAAGAGAGAGACAGACAGAACTCTAGTCTCTCTTCCTCTTTTAAAGACATTAATCCCATTCATAGAGGCCTCATCCTTGTGACCTCATTTAAACCTAATTACTCCCAAAGTCTCATCTCCATAACCATCACATTGAGGGTTAGAGTTCCAACATATGGGCAACACAAACATTTAGTCCAAAATGCATGCATAATACATAAGGATATAGAAGAGCTGAATGTAAAAGGACAGGAAATTATCTTTTATATATAAGGCCAATTCTGGGCACAATAAAGCTGGGGTCACTCTTTACTAGCTAATACACAGATTTTAAGACAGAAAACATCATTAGAAATAAATAGGAACACTACATTATGATAAGAGGTTCAGTTCAACAAGAAGCTATTACAATTCTAAACTTCAACTAGCCCAATAAAATAACATATATACAGCAAAATTTGATAGACTTACAGAAAGAAAAGGATAAATTCACCATCATAATAAGTGGTTTTATCACTTCTCTGACAATTTTTGCCACAGGCACATTCACTTGTTCACATATTACCTATGGCTGCTTTTGGGCTTCCAGTGGCAGAGTTGAGTGATTGATAAAGAGATGACATGATCCACAAAGCCTGAAATATTTACTATTTGGCCTTTTACAGAAAAGGTGAATCAGCCTTTGCCCTAGAGGAAGATCCTGAGACAAATATTTGAGGAAGAAGCTTACTGTCAATGTGCAGAGAACACTGGTAGAAAGGTGAAGAAAGATGACAGGGAAAAGAAGGCAGTCACGAAAGTATGGGCCAGCCAGCTACAACTGAGGGTAACTGATGCTTAGTTCTATGGGGTAACTCTGGGAAGCAGTGTAGAAGCTAGAATGACAATGGTACCAACTGTAGTCCTAACGGAGCCAAAGCAGTGCAGTGGGAAGAGAAGGAAAGTATAAGAGCAAAGTAAGGAGAGATGGCAAGAGAGCAGGCCCTCATCTTAATCCTACCTCTTTCAAGTGCACGTTTCTGAGCCAAGTTCAGATCTGAACTGAGGAAATGGGGAGAATTTTTGAACTGGACGAACAATTGAAATCTAAATTAAGATTTCACTGGATTCCTTTTTTAAAGATTTTATTTATTTATTTGACAGAGAGAGACACAGTGAGAGAAGGAACACAAGGAGGGGGAATGGGAGAGGAAGAAGCAGGCTCCCCTGCTGAGCATGGAGCCCGATGCGGGGCTCGATCCGGGGACCCTGGGATCATGACCCGAGCTGAAGGCAGACGCTTAACGACTGAGCCACCTAGGCACCCTTCACTGGGATTTTTGACAACTAAATATGAGACTATTATAATGCCTGAGATGGGGAAAGCCATGAGATTTGTGTGAGGTATCTCCCTGAGATGAAGCAGGAAAAGCCTACAGTATTTCAGGATTTGGGAGGGAGGAAATGAATACTATTTCATAATTGCACCTCACCAGTCCAGCTTATTTAGTTAAACATTAATAAGAAATAGCTCCCAAGATGCTAGGACATATAAAGATCACAAAACAGCATAATGTGTGAGAGAGATTAGGATAGAGAGCAGTACTTGTCAGAGTGGAAGGCCAAGGTTTCTCTAAGGAGACCTGGTGTGTACCATGGACTGTGGTAGGCACTAAAAATGCAAGTATGAAAAACAAAGATGCCATAGGAAGAGAGCGATGAGAAAAACAGCATAAAAAGACCTACTATCACAGGAAGTAGTGTCACACAAACACAAACTGATATCAAACTAAATCACACACACACACACACACACACATAAAGGAAATCAATGGTTGCTGAAGAGTTTTAAGTAGTACAGTGATGTATCAAGACTCTACTTTATAAATATTACTGTGACAGTAAAGTGGAGGGTGGACTGGAGGAGCGAATGCCAGAAAAAAGGCAGTAATAACAGAACTAGAAAGAAGGGGAATTACTAAATGGACATTGAGTCAACCCAGTCTGGCCATTGTCTAGGAGTAGATATGTGATTTCTCACTTGGACGATAGGTTCCATGATCACCCCAAAAAGGGGAATACAGGAGAAAAGAACACACTGGGGGAGAAGTTTCCCTAAAACATCCACTGAGTTATCTGAAAGGGTCATCACAGGAATCTTTCCCCTATACCTATTCTTCAAGACTTATGCCAGATGTTATTCCTGGGAAATAAATTTTCCCTCCCTGCATTTATTGTCTGTATTATTGTATGCATATTGTGTGCATTGTTCATCTAGTGTTCTGAAGTTTGTGATTTATTAAGTCACTCTAACACGACCTTGGAGAGTTGGGTGAATTGAGTCATTTTTACATTTTACTTTTCAAAGAGCCAAAGTAGACATGAGACCCATAATAGGTACTCAACAAAACTGAATAAATGTGTGAATTAATGCATAAATACTTGTCCCTCAACCCAAATTTACCACAACTGAAGACTATGACATGGCCAGGTAGTTCCCCTCCTCCTAAAATAGCTGCTAAAACATCTCTCTCTTAGGCTTATTTCAAAGAAAGAAGGAAATTGAATTGACTGTTTTAAGCAGTAAGTGGAAACAATAATATCTCCTCTCTTTCTTATTCTCTCTCTCAAATAACAAATAAATAAATAAATAAATAAATAAATAAATAAATAAATAAATAAATAATAAATAGAATCCTTAAAAAGAGAGAGAGAGAGAAATATCAGAAACTCTTTAAAGTTCCAAAAAGGCAAACAGTTTCTCTGGTAGACGCAAATTTTCCCTGCCTAAGGTACTTTAATAAATAATTAACCTTACAGCTATTTGCTTATAGCTAAGAGAGGAATCCTGTCATACAGCAATAAATTATTGCTCTAATATAAGGAACAAAACAGAATAAGGTTTGTATTTTTAAAAGGTATATATTTCAGATTTTTTTCCAAAACAATTCAAACAACTTGCAAAGAGACTGTCTTAAATAAATCTCCACACACTGTGGGCCCTTCAGAACACACTGCAGAATGTAGCTAAGTGGTAGAAGCTCCAAAACAGATAGGGTAGCAAAGAGGGCAAGATGGGGACAATTACATGTATGGGCAATGAGATTCTCATTGCCCAAAGTTAGAGAGCTTTTAATTTTAAATATTATCAGTTCTAAATCAATTAAAATTATTACAGTGTAATAATTATTTTCACTGTACAAAATTAAGAGCATCCAAGAGACAGACAAATGGAAACTAATTCAGAAACAAGTCTCTTTGAATTTGTTCCCAGGTGTTCTTGTGAGAGAAGTTGAAGGTAGGTCAACATGGAAATTAGAGAATTGACAAAAAACAGAGGTAAGTGGACATACCAGTAATACCTCTGAAAAATTGTCTAAATACTTCCTTTTAATTCAATTTAGTTAATGCTTATTTAGTCCCTTCTATACATAACAGCATGCCTGCTTCTCTGTTATATACCTTGTGATTCCCAAGACATCACTCTCAGTTTAAATGTTCACAAATTTTTTTAAGCTTTCAATTTTGGCTAAATAGTTTTCACTCATTGATTTGGGACCTGAACTTCAATATTTAGATTAATAATGAAACTTGCAAGAAAATTCCACCAACTTTGCTAAAGATAATGTTCTTTCTTATCCTTTTCCTTTTCTAAAGTTGTAATTTCTTTTCTGTTGGTTCAAAAATTCTATGATATTCCCACAAAAACTCTACTCTCACCGCTATTATGATATATGCACACTCTACATTTAAAATTGATTCCAACTTACACAAAAAATAAAAGGATAACAATGAGGACTTATTATTCACATTGGAGACCACTTCATAAAAGGATTCATGATAGGTTTCCATCAAACATAGCGCTTCTTTCATGCAATTATACTATTCAATTTACAAAATTGAATTTTCACAAATGTATCTATTGCCCAAAGTGCAGTAAACCATAATCTATGAAAATCACTACATTTCATGATAGATCAAATGAAATAAGCCTCACAGATTTCTATTAAATCTTAGGTCGGAGGGGTTTTGTTAAGGAAATTCAAGAGTTCATAGCTTCATTTAAGCATCACAAGATGCTCTAAATTTCATGAGAAAGTAGGTCAAGATAGTGCTACTCCCCTAATGAGACATGGTGGGGTGAGAATTACATGAGAGAGGGCAAGAAAAGGAATAAGTTCCTGGATAATGTCAGGGTTCAATGCTCCATGAATATTCTCATGTTGCTCCATGATTAGAGCTTTTTGAGCAAAGATACCTAGCAACCTGCATTACAGGGTAACTGAAATAGAGACCCTAAAAATAGAGACGACTGGAGAGACCTCTTAACTCTCCTTGAAGCCATTTACTTGGGGTAAATGCCTTGCTTGAGTGTGAAATAAGATCTTCCCACCCTCTATCCAGAGAAGAATTGTTTAAATTCTAGAGCAAAAGTCTCTCTACATCTTCTGAGGGGAAGACAAGCAGATGTGCCAGCCACTCTACATAAGATATAAGATTCATAATTTTAGGGTTCCTCTCCTGTGGTGCCTGGGCAAGGACATCAGGTCTTACTTACGTCACTGTGTGGAGAAGTGGGGCCTGGAGAACTGGCACTAAGGTGCTCCGTGAGAAGTAATTTGTCTATTTTCTGATCCAGAAAACTTGGGTTCCCTGTCAAGATAAATAAATAAATTAATTAGACATTTAAAAAATGACAGATAAAAAGAGAATTTGTGGATAAAGAAATGTAACTAAATTGAGGGCAGAGGGAAGAACCCTCTTACATAGACCAGAATTTCTCAATTTTGGCCTTTTGAACCACTTAATTCTCTGTTGTGGGAAACCATCCTATGCATTGTAATGATGTTTCGTGGCACCCCTGGCCTCTATCCACCAGATGTCAAAAGCTCCCCAACAGATGTCAAAAGCTCCCCTCCAGTGGAGACAACCAAAGATAGCTCCAGACATTGCCAAATGCCTCCTAGAGTGCAAAATTACCCCTGGTTGAGAATCACTGATACAGACATATTAAATGTCACCAACTATGGCCTCAAATTCATAATAGTCTTCAAACATGGCCTATTAAGTGGCCACAGTGCAACTGCTGTTCTCCTTTTGCTTTAGCAAACATTACCCCAGTATTAGTTTGGATCATTAAACTAAGGTTACTATATTCCAAAGCAATACTTCAGGGGATTATCCTATTTAGAAAGTTAGCTCTCCTAGACTAAATTATGTGATCTATTAAAGAGAGTAGTCCAGTTAGCTGGACAATAGTAGTCCAATTAAAAAAAAAAAACAAATATAAAGTTGTTTGCAATTTACAGAATTTCAAGGTTGGAAGAGACATAACTACTCATCACTTCTGACCATACTTATATCCCTTTTTAAGTTTTTACTTAATTTTTACTTAATTCCAGTTGGTTAACATACAGTGTAGTATTAGTTTCAGGTGTACAATATAGTGATTCCATTCAACACCCTGTGCTCATCACAAGTGCACTCCTTAATCCCCTCACCTATTTAACCCATCCCCCCACCCATCTCCCCTCTGGTAACCATCAGTTTGCTCTCTATACCTAAGAGTCTCTTTCTTGGTTTGCCTCTCTCTCTCTCTCTTTTTTTTTTTCCCTTTGCTCATTTGTTTCGTTTCTTAAATTCCACATAGGAGTGAAATCATATGGTATTTGTCTTTCTTTGATTTATTTCACTTAGCATAATTCTTTCTAGCTCCATCCATGTCATTGCAAATGGCAACATTGCATT